AAGGCTGCTGTCTGAAGGAGGGGTTGCAAAGTACTTGTTTAAACTAGACTGGGCTGCTCAGCAATCCTAAAATAGCACTTAGCTGGGTTGTGGGGTCAGCAGGGTCTCACTGGGATGGCACAGCCTGTGCTGTGGGACAGCATGGCACTGGCTGGAGCTGCCGTGGGAGCTGCAAGATGGGAGGGACTTTGCAGGACATGCCCTGCTCAGTTGATCCCAAAGCTGGCAGTGGGACCTCTGTCCTCCCAATCTTGTCCTTCAGCCCTGGCAGTCCCTCCCTTGGGGCTTTGAAATTCATCATGGGAGTCTGGGAACCACAGGGCTGGGAGGGGATGAGTCACAAGATGGAGGGATGGGATGTGAGGGCTTGGGGTGGCACTGGCTGGGTGGGAGGTGCTGGAGGGGGCAGAAGTAACCTGAAGAGCCAGGTTGAAAGGCTGTACCTGTGCTGCCAGGGCAGGAGGTGCAGCCCAAGAAGAGGGGCTCTCGCTGCTGGGAGTGAATTGTGGGGCTGCTGCTGCCTGATCAAATGTCCCCTGGGCTGTGGGACCAGTACTGACTCTGTTCTGTCCCCACCCCAGGTTCCTACAACCCCATGACACTGGGCATGTTCACATTGATGTATTTCTTCCTGGCCTGCTGGACCTATGGCCTCACAGTGTCTGCAGGGGTCTTCATCCCCTCCCTGCTGATCGGGGCAGCCTGGGGGAGGCTCTTTGGCATCTCCCTGTCCTACCTGACCAAGGGCTCGGTGAGTCCTGCCTGGGAAGCCGTGGCACCCAGCTCTCCTCCCTCACTGCTGGGCTGGTGGCATGTTCAGGCAGCGTGCCTGGAGCTGGCTGAAAGCTCTGAAGTTGGCTGACTCCTTGCTTGATGTCTTCCTGAGCTGGGTCTTGGCCTCCCAATGTCCCAGTGGAGCCCTGCCAGCAGCTGGGTTGTTCAGGCAGCCTCAGGCAGCTCTTCCCACTTTGGAGGGGGGTTTGGGGGCCAGGACTCTGCTGACTATTCTGAATGCCCTGGAGCCAGTAGGTGATTTGGCTCCTTTTCTTTCCCATGCTCAGATCTGGGCTGATCCTGGGAAGTATGCCCTGATGGGAGCTGCTGCACAGCTGGGTGAGTTCCCCATGGCACAGTGTTGGTTGGGGTAAAGATGTCATGGGATAAAGCACTCCCTGCTTCCCTGACAGCTTCCTTCCCAGCTGAAGCCCAGCCTGTCTGCTTCCTCATCACCCTGCCAAGCACAGGGCACCCCTGGGTGGGCAGTCCTGGATCACTGAGAGATTCAGGGCCCTCAGGTGTTCTGTGATGCCCTCACTCTGTGTTTCCTTGCCCTTCTAAACCCCCTGGGTGCCTCTGGCAGGTGGGATCGTGCGGATGACCCTGAGTCTCACTGTCATCATGATGGAGGCAACAGGCAACGTCACCTATGGCTTCCCCATCATGCTGGTGCTGATGACAGCAAAGATTGTGGGAGACTACTTTGTGGAGGTGAGGGCTGGTGTGCTCCCCAGGGCTGGGGGGTCATGGGGGGCCAGGACAGGCATGTGCTCACTCTAAGGGATGAGCTGCTGCCTGGCTGTGCCCCTTGGCACCTCACCAGGCCTCTCCTGATGGCTTGGCTCTTGTTGCAGGGACTGTACGACATGCACATCCAGCTGCAAAGTGTCCCCTTCCTGCACTGGGAGGCCCCAGTGACATCCCACTCCCTCACAGCCAGGTAGGTGGGCTGAGCATTGCTGTGGCAGCAGCCTTTGGACCCCAATGTCGGCCTGAGCTGGGAGTGGAGGTGGTGACCTTTTGGTTGCAGGAGCCTGCTGTCCCCTGGTACCACAGCTCAGCTTCTTCCCCAGCAGGGATGTGATCTGTAGTGTGTTCCTTCCTCTCTCTGACAGCTTTTGGGGACATCAGCACTGAGGAGTCATGTGTGTTGGGGGGATATTTAGGGTGTGAGGGTGCTGAGGCCCTGGCACAGGGTGCCCAGAGAAGCTGTGGCTGCCCCATCCCTTGAACTGCTGTCCAAGGCCAGGTTGGACAGGGCTTGGAGCCATCTGGTCTAGTGGAAGGTGTCCCTGCCCATGGAAAGGGTTTGGAATTACATGAGCTTATAAGTCCCTTCCCAGCAAACCAGTGTGTGATTGCAGGATTCAGTGAGTGCTGCCATGGGGCTGTGTTTCACCCAGAGCTTTCCCTGCAGGGAGGTGATGAGCACTCCTGTCACCTGCCTGCGGAGGATCGAGCGCGTGGGCACGGTCGTGGACATCCTCAGTGACACCTCCTCCAACCACAACGGCTTCCCCGTGGTGGAGAGCAACCCTGACACCACACAGGTGGGCTGGGTGCCCCTGGGGAGGGGATGCAGCTGGGGTGGACCCCGAGGGCTGGCTGCAGAGTGGGACCCTCACACACGGTGCCTGTTGCAGGTTGCCGGGCTGCGGGGTCTGATCCTGCGTTCCCAGCTCATCGTCCTGCTGAAGCACAAGGTGGGTGATGCTGCCTGGAGACTGGGTTGTTTCTGCTGTCCCAGTCCTGTCTCAAGCCCTTTGCTGCCTGTCCCTCAGCTCACCCAGGGGGATGGTGGGTGCTGCCGTTCGGTGGTGGGGTTACCCCAGCACCATCCTGCCCCCCACTGGGCTCCCAAACCCTGAGTGAGTGGGAAACAGGCTGTGCTTCTGCGGATGGTCCACCTGTCCCACCCTTCTGCCCTTTTCCCTCCCTGGCCCTGTGCATTGTCTTGGTGCCTGTGATAGTCCCCAGCCATGTCTTTCCTCCCCAGGTTTTTGTGGAAAGGGCCAACCTGAGCCTGGTGCAGCGGCGGCTGAAGCTGAAGGATTTTCGGGACGCCTACCCCCGCTTCCCCCCCATCCAGTCCATTCACGTCTCCCAGGACGAGCGCGAGTGCATGATTGACCTCAGCGAGTTCATGAACCCCTCGCCCTACACCGTGCCCCAGGTAACGGCCAGGGACCCCTCTGCACAGCTCCCCGGGGATCAGGGTGGGCCGTGGGGGCTGGCTGGGGGTGCTGCAGCCCCCCCAGCCCCGTTCTGCCTTGCAGGAGGCGTCCCTGCCACGGGTGTTCAAGCTCTTCCGAGCCCTGGGCCTGCGGCACTTGGTGGTCGTGGACAATCGCAACGAGGTGAGTCCCTGCTCGCTGTGTCCAAGCAGCCTGGGGAACCCCTGTTCCTGCAGGGGACAGGGACACGCTGTCCCCAGGCTCTGTGTGCCCACATCGGGCTGGACCCTGTCCCTGTTCCGGCAGGTGGTGGGAATGGTGACCCGCAAGGACCTCGCCAGGTACCGGCTGGGGAAGGAGGGCCTGGAGGAGCTCTCGCTGGCACAGACGTGAGGCAGTGCGGCCCAGCAGAGATGTGCCCCGGCCCTGGGAGCTGGGGCCCCCCTTTTGCAGGAGGTGGAGAGGACTGGGCCAGTCCCTGCGGGTGTCACAGTGCCTGGAGCACTGCCATGGCCATGCTGCCCTGGCCCTCCTGCCTGCTGCTGCCTTCCCACATCTACTGCCTCCTCTTGTCACCCCTTCCTCTGCTTCCCTGAGGGATCAAAATTCACCCTTGGTTCTGTTAGCTCCTGGAATAGGCTCTCTCTGAAGGCTGGGTGAAGGCTGGAGTGTTCCATGGGGAGCAGGACTGCCCTACTGAGCTGGGCACAGTTCTCTGACACCGCACGTGGCCTCTGTTGCCTCATCCACCCAATCTGGGCTGTCTGGGACTTAGCCCTGCCCTAGCTTCAGCTGCAGGGCCTGTGAGAGGGGCAGAGGGGACACGATGGGGCTCCTTCCTGCCCCCAGGCCCCCATTCCTTGGTGCCCTGTGGTCCTGCTTGCTGGGTTGGGCTGAGCTCTGGGGTTGCCTCCCTGCTCCTTGGGACTGAGGAGGGGGATGTGCCCTGCTTGGCTGTGCAATAAAAGGGCTCCCCTGGTTCTGCAGCTGCTGCCTCTGGTTCTTTCTTGGCTCCCTCAGCCACCCTGACCCCAAACCTTGTGTGGGGAGACACCCCTGGGATTTGGGGCAGGGCTGGGGAGGGGAGAGCTGCCTACACGGGGGAGATGTTGGTCCTGCAGCCTGTGCCCCTCTGCCACTCCTGCAGTCCTCCTAGCACTGCTGATCCCACACCAGGATCCAGAGTCACTCCTGGGGCGTGTTCTGGCCCTTTCCAGCAGCCTGGGCCCTTCCAGGCACCCCAAACCCCACCAGCAGTCCTGGATTTGGCTGGAGATGGGAGCAAAGCCAGTCCTAGCACCTCACTTTTCCTGTCTTCCCCCATCCTTGCTCCTCTCCTTGGCATTGCCCTGCCCCCTGCCCTGGGACTGCCCCTTCCTCACCTGGTGCCTGGAGAGGCTTTTGGCTGCAGGATCTGTGCTGAAATAAAGACTGTTTGTACTTTTATTGTGGTGCTGCATGTCTCTTGCTTCCCTTCTTCCCTTGGGGCTGAACCAAGCCCTGTCCCCACTCCTGCTGCTGGGAGGGCACAGGCTGGGGGTTGGGGGCCAGCTGTGTCCTGGGCTCAAGGCAGGGGCTGGCTGCCCCTTCCCGGGTTCTTTTCCCTTTCAACACCAACACAAAGCAGAGGATGCCTCAGCTGGGCCCTGGTAACAGCCAGGTCCAGCTGTGGAGAAGAGCCAGCCCTGCTCTCCTGTGTGGGTCCAGATCCCTGGCGCTGCCCTGGGGCAGGGGAGCTGTGGGGCACAGTGGGTCCCCCGGGCAGTGCTGGGTCCCCCTGCGTGCTGACAGCCGGCTGCTTTATGAGGCCCCGTGTCGCCCTTTGCCCCGGCGCGGCCGAGATAAGGGGATGGGATCCACCGCCTTGGGCCCAGAGTAAACACGGGCTGCTGGCTCCTGCCGGCACCGCGCCTCCCTGCTCTGCCCGCTGCTGCCAGCAGCCCCCCGGGGTCATGCCAAGCCGTGGCCCTTTGTCTCTGGCAGCAGGGACAGCGCGGTGGCGGGTGGCAAAGGACACCGCACACGCTGCTGCCTGGCGGGAGTCATTTATTCACTCGTCCCGTCACCGGCTTCGACCCGGCAGCTCCGAGTGCCCCGGTGCTGGCACTGGGGCCACCAGGTTTATCATTAACTGGGTGGCACGTGGCGGGACCGGGGCCCCCGGGGCCACAGTGGGGTCACAGCCCAGCGAAGGGCTCTGCCTCCAGCCCCGGGCGGCCCAGCAGCTCCCGCCCGACGCCCGGCAGCTCCGGCCCTGGCTCCGCTGTCCAGTTGGCCAGGAGGTCGCTGAAGTCAGGGGTGCCAGCGTGCAGGAGGCTGGCGGGGCCCGGGCCTGGCTCTTTCCAGAAGGAGGGCGGCAGCTTCCTGCGGTGCATGGGGGTGATGTGGCCGTACTTCCTCTCCAGCCGCTGCGTCTTGCCGCCGGCGCCCCGTGCGGGCAGGCACCGGTGCACGCCGTACTCGAAGAGCTCGGCCAGCGGCCCCAGCCTGTGCGTGGCCCCCGGGCTGCCCCGCGGGGCCGCGGCCTCGGGCACAGCCTCAGCGCTCCGGGGCGAGCCGCAGTCCGCGGGCACGGGGCGGCTGCCGGCGGCCTCCTCCCGGCCCCGCCGCCCGAAGTAGCGCTGGATGTCGCAGCTGATGAGCTCCGAAAACTTGAGGAGACGCAGGGTGGTCTCGGCAGTGCTGGAGACACTGGCCAGCTCTGGCCTCACGCTCTCCTCCACTGCTTCCACGTCCTCCTCTTCTTCCTCCTCTTCTTCTTCTTCCTCCTCCTCCTCGGAGAGGTCGGGGAAGTCGGGCTCGGGGTGTGTGGGCAGCAGGAGGCCGTGCGGGAAGGGCGAGGGCAGCCGCAGCTCGGCCAGGGGCTGGATGACACCCGCAGCCATGCCAGCGCTCAGAGGCACCCCCAGGAGTCACCCTGCGGGCAGGGACAGCGGGTCAGGGTGACACACCCTGCCACCAGCCCTGACCCACCGCCCAGCAGCCCTGAGAGGGCAAGGGACCGTGTTGTGCCACACCATGGCCAAGGTGGGGCCACAGGGCAGCAGGGATGTCCCCCACAAAACACGGGGTGTGGGATGTACCCACCAAGCTGTGGGGAAGAGGGCAGTGGGGGTATTCCCCCTGGGACATCCCCACTCAGCCCTGGGACAGCAGGCAGCAGGGGTGTCCCCACCAAAACATGGGATATGGGGCAGTGGAAGCATAACCCTGACTTGTGGGACATGGAGTAGCAGAGATGCCATTCCCCTACAAGCAACAGGACATGGGACAGTGGGGACAGGACATTCTAACTCAACCCTGGGACATTAAGCAACATAGATGTCCCCATCAAGCCACGGGGTGTGGGACAATGGGAATGTCCCTAAGTCTTGGGATGTGGGGCAGCAAGGATGTTTGCAGTGATCTGTGGGACATGGATGTCCCATGGGGTGCGGGGCAGTGGGGATGTGCTCCAGAGCTGTGGGGCAAAGGGACGCTCCCCTTCACCCCAGGGCTGTGCAGGGAGGTGAATGGGGGCTCAGCACCCACCCTGCAGTTCTTACTCAGGGCCACAGAGCCCCATGCCCTGCCCACACAATGGCCCCTTGGGTGACAGTGAACCCACTGCCTCCCTGCCCTGCCCTGCCCTGGTGGGCTCTGATCTCAGCTGCATTTTGCTGAGCTGGATGTGGCCCCTTTGTAGCTTGTGCTACCTGTGCTGAAGGGTCCCCAGCCCTGCCTCGCTGCAGGACACCCCGGCCATGCTGAGAGGGTCTCAGGGCAGGACCACATCCTGGGGAACCAGACCTGCCCCTGCCACACCAAGCGTGGTGGCGGGAGCTGCACCCAGCCTAAGATCATCCTTGCCATCTCTGCGTGTCCTTCTTTGTGCCGTCCCCACCGCCGTACCCCCCGGGGTGGGCTGCGGGGGGCTCAGCCTCGCCTCCGGGCTGCGGGGAGGGGGGAGCGGGGCCACCACAGCCTGCCCTGCCGCCACCCTCAGCCGGACAAACCCCCCGGACAGGAGGGCATCGCCCGGCCCGCGGCTCCGCACTCACCTTGGCGCTGCCCGGCCATGCATAGGCTCCCGCGCCGCTCCCCCTGCCCGTCCCTCCACCTGGGCCTGAAGTATTTATAGCGGAGCAGCGAGCTGACGGCTGGCAAATATTTGGTAGCCGTATTGTAATAGTAGACTCGGTAAACAGAGCTGGGGTTTGCTTTAGCGCCCAGCAACGGGAGAGCGGCGCGGGGAGGGACGCGGGGACGGAAGGCAGGGCTCACCTTAATGGTTCACTCGCCAGGGGATTTTCAAGTGTTGTCCCTGTAAATTCACCTATTAAATCGGCAGCCCCAGCTGCCAAACTGCCCGCACACTTGTGCCGAGGGCTCTTATCTCCCCGCTGATTGGAGGTGAAATCAAGCTTTGTCAAATAGGCGTAAAATTAAATTTCATGCTATTTTGACTCCTGGAGTAGGGATCTTCTGAAGAACATACTGCGTATCGAGCCATGCCTCTGCAAACAGGGGCTGCCCCTGCAGTGGGCAAAGCCTTTCCGTGGGTACCCCCAGGTGCTGCAGCACCCTTGTGCAGGTTCAGACCACTCCTCTTCGAGATGGATGCTGGGCTCCCTGACCTGACAGAGGTTTTGGAACCTGTGTATGCAAGTGTGGAGAAGCCATGTGGAGAGTGTCTGGGTCAGCCCCACGGCAGGGACAGAGCTGGGTGACAGCATTTTTACCCCACGCTATGGCCCGTGGCTCCCCTGTGAGGACAGGGACAATGGCAAGCAGCTCAGGTCCCAGACAGGGTGTGCCAGAGGTGCCATGTCTGCCCTGGCAGCAGGACATGCCAGCAGGGTCATCTGGGGCAGCACAGAACAGAGCCAGGGGACACAGAAGGCTGGGGATGCTGGGTGGCTGGAGACACAGGATGGCCAGAGGACACAGGGCAGCCTGCCCCTGACAGCTGAAGGGATGGCAGGAGTCTGACACAGCACCAGATCCTGTCACAGATATTGGGGACACTCAGGGAGTGGGACACTAGCCACTGGGCTTGGGGACAACCACAGCCCTGATCCAGAGCTGCCCTGTTCTCCTGGTTTTGGGGTGACCGCAGCTCCTGGTCTCTCCCTCGGAGCCTTCCCGGCCCTGAGCACCGTGTTCTGAGGCATCCGCAGTGCTGAGAGGGGGTCCCCAGCTCCTGGCAGGGTGCAGCACTGGCGATGGGAGTGTCCCAGCCTGGGCAGGGCTGTCACCCACCCGCTGCCCGGGCCGGCAGCCCTGGGGCTCCCTGCGGGGCAGGGCTGGGCACCGGCTCCGCAAAGCTCCCTCTGCTCTCTCCAAACACTCCCAGCGGCGAAGCGGGGCTGGAGCAGCAGGCACCGGGCACTGCTGGGCAAACACGGCGGACGGGAGCTGATTAGCCACGGGCACCCTTCGGGCTGCTCCCTAGTGTCACCCATTGCCACCCACCCGCCCGGCCCGGCTCGGCATTGGCACAGCTTGGCATTGCTACCGGGCAGCCACGCCGATCCGGGGAAAGGCGGCTTCCTCTGCTGCCTCAGCCACCTCTGCCCCAGGCAGTGCGGGAGATGGGGAGAGCTCCCACAGCCTCGGGGTCAGTCTGGCTGGAGAAAAGGGCTGCACGGACCCTTTGGCCAGCTGGGAAGGGTCTGGGCATGCTGGTGAGGAGGTGTGGGACAAGGTGTGGGGAGCACATGACTTGGCTGCTGGCTCACAGAGCTGGGAGTCATGAGGTCTCCGTCGCCTGTGGGAAGGAATCGGAAGGATAAGGAGCACCCAGGGCTCAGCAGGACCACTCCAAGAGAGCGGCAGGGAGAGGCAACGCCACTGGCATGTGGCTTTGCACCCATTCGAGTGCCCAGGGTGGCCATCCCTGCTCCAAACTCTGCCAGGGCCGGGCATGAGGAGCTGCTGTCCCACAGGGAAGGGGTCTCCTGCCTGCAGAGACCCCCGCAGACGAGCAGAGAGCTCGCAGACCCCATCTGATTCTGCTCAGCAGGGATGCTGCAGCGGAGCGGGGCGGCGGCACAGCCCTGCCCGGGGCTGGCTCACGCCGCCTTTCCCTGAAAGCCAACGGAGCTTCAAAGCTGGGGGGAAAGCAGGCGTGGCTCTGCTGCCTGTGGAGCCCTGTGGCAGTACAGAGAGCGGGTGGGATTTCTCCGGCACGGGGAGCATCCAGAGAGCAGCGGGGCCGGGAGCTCAAGGTGAAGAGACAAGAGGTGAAACTCAAGGGAGTGGTGCGAGCTGGAGCTCACAAAGCCAGGCAGGGAAAGCAGCACGTGGCAAAGCTCCGCAGCAGCCCAAGCCCCCGCAAAAGCACATCATCCTCCCCCCGGCAGCTGGGGGAGCAGCCGCGGAGCGCCCAGCGCCGCCCCGCCGTGTCCTCGCTCCTCTCCGGGCTGTACCCGTGGCCAGGCGGGTTCGTCCCCTTGTCCGTGCGCCCACCCTGCCTCCTGGTGCTTCCGCCGGCCCCGGCCACGTGTCCTATCACCCCCCACCCCGGCAGGCGCTTTCCTTGCCCCACATCCCCCACGGTGGGCACGGCAGCCAGCGCAGCCCGGGCCTGCTCCGGGCACCAGCCTGTCCCCGGAGCGCCGCGGCGCCCTGGCTGCTGTGCCCACCCCGGCGAGCCCCGGGCACGGGGCACCGGGCACGGCGGGGCTGGGGTCCGGTGCCCCCGCCCGCCCCTGGGCCCAGCCACGCCCCGATGACATCACCGCACCTTCGCTCTGACCGCGCCCCTCCGGTCAGCCACGCCCACAAACGTCACCACCCTCTCTAACCAACCACGCCCCTCTGACATCACCGTTACGTCACTCAGACCAACCACGCCCATCAAGGTCGCCCCCTCCAGCCCTGCCCCTCGGACCCCGCCCCCTGGCGGACTACCCTTCCCGTCATGCAGCGCGGCGCAAGGCGGGGCCGCTTCCGCTCAGCGCTCGCCGCGCGTCGCTGCTGCTGAGGCCGCTGAGCCGCCGCCGCCCCAGGCCCCTGTCCCGGTCTCGGTCGGAGCCGCCGCCTCCGGACCGGCCCCGCCATGTCGGCCCAGGCACAGATGCGGGCCCTGCTGGACCAGCTCATGGGCACGGCCCGGGACGGTGAGTAGGGGCGGGCGGGGCCTGCAGGAAACGCCGCGGCCTGGCGGCCGCCTCACCGCGCGAGGCCCGGCCCGGCCCGGCCCGGCCCGGCCCGGCTGCTG